CCCGCCCACGCGGGCTCCGCTGCTTTTCCTTCAGCCAAGTAACGGTTAAGGACCTTCTTCAGAAAGGTGTTGTTCGGGTCTGATTCCCGCTGCACGTACGCTTGCAAAAGTTTGATGTTCACCCGCCCGAGCTTCGTGGCAACGCATTGGCGGACCAGCTGCAGCACGACAGGGGGTTTGTAGCTCGAGGTAGGAAGTTGATGAGGTTGGTCCACTCCTCGTCGCTGAGCTCGGGCCCCTTCTTAAGGTCGTCGATGATGGTAAACACGCCGCCCCAAAGAGTCCAATCGCCAAAGGCGTCGGCGCCGCCGCTGGCTTCCAGGCAGTCTTCCAGCTTCGGTAAGTCAACGGGAAGTTTCCTGCACTCGCCCCTCACGTCCGACGGCGCGAAGACCATCAGAGATCCAGCGGCGAGCGCATCTTCGAATGTCTGGATCTTCGCCTTCTTGCCCTTCGTGCTGTGCGTTAACTTTTTCAAGCCTGGAATGCAATCAAGCGCAGCGATATCGCGAATCCTGATAGACGGTGTATTGCGCGTGGCGCCATGGACCTTGCGGATGAGGTCGTCGGCCTGAATGGATTCTTGCGCGCCTGGCTCTACGTTGATGCCTTGCCCGCATAACTGCCTCGCCAACCAGTCTTGGTCTTCGACGATAGACTCGTCGATCTCGCTCAAGTTGTTGGGAACGCGGAGGGCTTCTTCATCGGAGTACTCCAGGTCAATTTCGTGAATGTGCCTCTTGTAGAAACGAGATACGAGAATTGGATCTCGTAAATCGTCATCGAGGTCATCTTCTGTGCGAAACAAAAACTTCCCACTTGAATGATCAACTTCCTCTGGGGTTTTGACAAACTGTGCTTTCCCCATTTTGCCGCAAATGATTCTCCTTTTTATTTGGTCGCAAACACTGTCCTTCTCGTTAAATGTATGCTTCTTCTGCTCTATGACAGGGATGCTTTCGAAGTTTACCTCTTGCGTTTTCATGCCAGTGAAAACTTTTTTTGGCGTGAACCCGTATTTCTGTCGCAAATCCAATTCCTAATAAGGCAAACCTTAATGCGCAACGCAGTGCATGGGGCAGCGAAGTTGGCACGTGTTTCCCCTCCCCCCGATGCCGTTCCCCTCCGCGCGTTGCAACCTCTCGGAACCATTTCCGTTGCACGGCCAGCTTCGCCCCCTTCGAACGACAACGTGCAGCGCATGGAGGTTTGCCCTATGTCCTCGCACACAACAAATCGTTTCCAAATGTCAGGCAGGACGCGGGCCACCGAGCCGAACTCCTGTATACGGATGCATCTCTTGTTCCAGGCAAACTGAGCTGATCGGCGCCATTCCGATCGGTCGAGGAAAACGCCGCAATCCAGGCTACCGAAACTTTCTCCAAACAGTGCTTTCTCAAATACAAGCTCTCTACCTTTCCCATCCCCGCCCTTTCCACATTCAAATACCATTTTGCAGCTGTCCTTGCCTTTGAAAGCCAATTTCCATAGCAATAACTTGACCGAGAAGAACGCGTCGTTCTTGTAATACATAGACTGTACCCATAAATCGAATGTTTCGTCGTATTTTGCCAGGTTCCAGCCTGGCCTGGTTACGTCATCTTCAGATACGTGAAATTTGAATGGTACTTTGCAATAGCAGTTGTTCTCTCGCTTCTTCACTTTTTCTTCTCCAAGTTCATTGATGCATACGTCTGCAAAAACTGTGCCTTTAGATTTTGGCAGAGGGGTTGAACATATCTTTAAGAAGAGCTTCGTCATTTGGGCCATGCCGGAATCAGAACCGAAGAACCGAATCAGCTTGGAGAGAACGTCGGCCAATTTTATAAGAAAGTGAGCTTTCCATGGCTTGTGATCTGAATTCCGACGGACGTAGTCAGACTTGCTTTTGGCCGCGACGGCAAAGCTGTCCGACGCAGTGGCAATCGACCCTCCGCAGTCTTGCACCTTTGTAGTAATGGCGGTTCTGCATATTGTTTTCAGCGCACTCCACTCCCAGGGCACCTCCTCTGCGTTGTCGTTGATGTTCTCATATATCTGCAAGAGGATACCCTCTGCTGCAAGCACTGTCTGCTTATCAGGAAGGGTCAGCACTTCTTCTCTGATCCACGCGCCAGACTCTTCTTCGTACCCAAAGACAACATAATCATGAACACGCACGTTTTTCGCTTGAACAGTTAGGAGGATCCCCAGCTTCGATTGGTTCAAAATCTTGAAGTCTGTCATCGCAGCCCCTTCCACCAGGTACTGGATCATCGTCATGATCACCTGAACCTGCGGGGCATCGTCTGGGAACTCCTTCTCTACCTTTTCTCTCATGCCCAATATTCGGTCCAGAAGCGTGACCCCTTCCGCCAGGGGCAAGGGCCCCCTCGCCTCGCCCTGCGTTGGAGACGCATGTGGCGCGCGAGAAGTTTGGAAGCTGCCAATGAGACCAGCGCCAAGCTTCCGCCTCCTCTTGGGCGTCGAACACTGCGCATCATACGTGTCCTGGGTGTCAGGCACGCGCGCGCCCATGATGGCAGCGTCCAGCTCGGCCTGCGAAGCTGCCGAAGCCGACGCGCCCACCAGGGCGTCGCGGCCCAGCGGCGACGGCCACGCGACGGGTTGCCCGCTGGACGGAAGGACGGGGGACGCATCATTCCTCAGCCTGTACACGTGCACTTCCTTTGTCAAGTGCAGCTCTGGGTTGTCGGAGGTAGGCAACGGCTCGGGTACTTCCGAGCTGGTGATGATCTTCTGTACCCCGAAGAAGAATCGGTCGTCGTTGTTGGCGCAGTGCACGGTGCCATCGAACGCGTGAGCCCGCAAGCCTACCCCGTGGGAGCCTTTCTGCACGATGAATTTGCCACCCTGGAACAACTCATCTTGGGGCACCTCCTCCAGGTGAAGATTATCCTATGGATGGGCGGGGCACGGAGGTTCGCGGAGCGATGGCGTCGGCGTTGGTGAGACCGCGCGGGTTGTTCAATCGCAAACGACCAGGGCTTCCGATAGAGGATATCGCCCGAGATCGAACGATACTGGGCCACTGGCAACGTTCAAACTTGAACGCCTCAGCGAGCCGATCGACCTGAGAGGATTTGCAGTGAATATCGATGTTGGTTTTTAATGTAATGATGTGGTTTTTCATGTGCTTTTAATTTTTTGTTGCACGTTTTTGCCGCGCGTCCCGCGCGACGCCGCACGAGTAGATGGAAGCGTTGCGATCAGGAGCGGTGTACACGTAGGTTCTACATTGAGTACTGCTTGCGGTCGCTCGGGTGTTTCGGTATCCTGGGGCAGCGCATTCTGGCTGCGCATAGGGGGCGAGAACCGACGGGCATACCGGAGCGCGCATTGATTTCGTGCGTTTGCCGGAAAGCACGATCGCAAGCCAGGCGATACATTCGTTTAGTTGTCAGTCGAAACGCCGTCATCATAATTGTCCCTTCTGGGTGATCGTTGTTTCCTGGGCAGGTGTAAGAACTGTTTGCCATGTGACCGACGCCCCATCGCGTGTAAATCGGCAGCAAACCTCATCATCCCTGTTCCCCCTCCTCTTCCTGCCGCGCCCTGGGCCCCCCTACTCGACCTCCTCTTCTTGCTTTCGCTTTCGGTGCCAAATTTTCGAAACCCGATTCCCAGGCTGATAACTCCTCCCCGTATCCCTTTCCAATCCTCCTCCTCTCACTCCTCATCGCCTCCCTCCCTAGTCCAGCTTCTGCGTTCCTCCCAGAGCAGCTTGGCGGGGCGTTCCGTAATGTGTCGCACGTCTGGTCGAGATGCAATGTGGTTGCGGCGCCTATGTTGTTCAATGTTGGCGCCGACGTTGGAAAAGGTGGCGAAGGAAAGGGGGGGCGCGGCTCAGCATGCGAGGGCCTGAAATCTCGTTTCGTTGTCTTTTGGCACGGCAGCCCTGGTCAAGTAAGTTTCGAAAATGCTTTCTGCGGGCACGTTCGAATGCAGAGTTGAGAGTTTGTCGAAGGGCGCGAAGCAGCGATGATTGCACCCCCCCCCGTCGTCCGCAAAATAAATGCTTGACGCTTCGCGTGCCCTCGCCAGCCTATCCAGAAATGTTTCCAAGGGGAGTTGGCATGAAACGATTGGCGGCCTATGTAAAACAAGAAGAAATGGATAGCAGGCAGGGCGACGCCAGCAACAGCCCGGGCAGCCCCCGACCATGACCCAGCTTCGAGGGGGTGGGGAGTTTCTCTTAGTTCTCTTGGAAACGTCCTGGTTCGTTTTTGCCTTGTTCCGGAACCTCCGGGCCCGCTTTGGGGTTGCGTCGCCCGCGATTGACGATTTTCGGGCCCTCTTGAGGCTGTCGTGGAAACCGTCGGCAAAAAAATATGGGCGAATTGGCGTCGCCCCCTGCAACAACAGAAAAACAAACATATGGGGTCCGCGTGGTAGCCCCTATGATGCGTTCGATGGGGCCTCGCTGGCCTTCCCATGACCCTTCTGGGCCCTTTGTCTTAGTTTCTCTGGCCGTCCCGGGGCTATCCACGCGCTCCAGGAACTCGTCCGTGGCGCAAGTGTGAAACAACGAAATCAACAGATTCAATCCAGGTGCTGAAGCGTGCCTGGTCTGTCGGTGGCATCACTGTCGGCCGCCCAGCCGTCCTGTAGCGGGCGTGGGGGCTCTGGAAGACGTGCCCGAGGTCATTCCGAGCCGTCTGGGACAATCTGGCGAGAGCTTGGAAACCATCTTGGGCTACCATAGGGCATATTGGAAAGATATTGGGGCATCTTGGACGGCCCGACCCCTCGCGTCCCCCCCATTGTCCAGACTCCTGGCGAAGGGGCGCGGGGAGAGGCAAACCGCTCCCTGAAACGTGCCGGGCTGTTTTGCATAAGCCGATTCGCCAAACTACGTCCGCCGAGAAGGGTGCGGAAATGTTGAATAAGTGTAGCCCTGAGGGGGGGAAACGAACAATCAAGTTGAAACGCTCCTCCTCCGCAGCCATTTTGGCCCGAGGCTTTCTCGTGAACACATCCGGCGATTGTGCGCCCCTCTCATGGCACAGACAGCCTGGGAGCTGATCAAACAGTTTTGTCGCCCATCCTGCTCGGCTAATGATGCAGACATGTTGCAGCTTTCGCGTTTGCTCGAGGTGACGAAGCGATGGTTGCACGAACGGTTCGTGCGCTTTGTTCGTTCTGCTAAAGATAGGCCCTTGTTGATGTCTTACTCTTGCGATGGGGCTCCGACTGTGTCCACCGCGAGGAAAACGTTCGGCACTGCCTTGCTGCCAACTATTCGCCGATCTGGGAAAGGTTGTGACGAATACCTGGTACACACCGTGTTTGCAGCATTCCACGATGGTAGTGGAGTCGTTCGCTGCACGAAGATGAGGGAGCCCATGCCCATGACGGCGGGGAAGTGCACGCCTCCTATCTTCGCTGCGGCAATGCAGTTCCACCAGACGTTGCCGCAGCTAAACCATCAAGGCATATCCGTACACCACTACTCTTGGGATCGCGCCCTGTTTTCCAGCATGCGCACGTTGTACCGCAAGTACCACGTGCACTTGATACATAATAACTTGGATGGAGGTCCCAACGAGATGTCGCAACAACTTCGTTATCATTTGAACTGGCCTGTGTTCACCGGTTGTGGGCTTCACGACGCGCACAAGGGGCAGGAGTGGGCTCTCCACGCCGAGTACGCGGATGGTGATATACTCCGTCGGGTTCACATCGCAGTGGAAAGCTTGAGGAACTCCTACACGCAGCTGATGCGGTGGATGCCCTTGTTGGTGGCTTCGATTGACGTCGTGCCAGCAGAGGAATGTCTGCCCGAGGAGACGCTGAGGGCATTGTGGGGCGTTCTAGGCGTGCCCGGTGTGCTTCTTGAGGAACTCGTTGGGTGGCGGTTGTGCTGCGTCGGTGGGAAGCTGCAGGCCACGACGGCAGTGCATGGGGACGTTCCAGATTTCTTTGACAGAATCTCGTACTGCATCGCATCCCTGTGGAAGTTCACCAAGTTCTCGGAGTCGCGATGGGTCTCCGTTGGGTGGGCGTGCAAGCGGGTGGCGTGCGCAATCCTCAGTGGCGTCGACATTGTCGTTCGCGCGGTACAGGACGATCCTCATGAAATCAATTGGTATATCAATGGATGGGGCGATCTGCGCGAGGACGGTCGTCATTTGGTCTTCGTATGCGCGGTGTCCACCAAGGTCAGTGATACCATATTGGCCCTCATGCTACACGATGCCAGGCTCGCGAAAAACATTGATGAGGTGGAGACCAAAGCATTCAAATCATTGCAGACTGTTGCAGAAATAGACGCCTCAGTGTGGCGTGTGTTCGCAGATGCATGCTACGAGGGATGCCCGCCTTTATCTTTGCAGTCGAAGGCCATCCACTGCGCTCAGGTGTCGCTAGCACTCGTCACGTGGAGGGCGCTCGACGACGCGAGGGGGCTGCCTTGGTCGCTCGCCACGGGCGATGTCGACGGTAAGCTGGATGCCTTGGCCGCGGGTGACATGCCGCAGGACGCAGTGGCGGCGAGGGTGTACTGCTTGCTGCAGTGCGGCTGGCCTCGCGCGGACATCAAACGGGGCCTCAGCCTGCTGCTCGAATGTCCTTGGTCGACTAGATGCGCCGAGCAATTGCATGCATCGCTGACCCTCATGAAAAGATACCACCCAGACGCTGGACAGGAAACGTTGATTGTCCGAGCAGGTGTTCATTCCATGAGGTTGTTGCTCCCCGGCCTGAACGCGCTGGAGAAGCAGGCGGCCGTGCGCCGCGAGAAACTGGCTCGTTTGGGCCGCAAGTGTCCCGAGAAGATCACGGGCCGCCACATCTTCTTGAAGGAGTTGGTGGACCTTGCAGTGTCCAAGCGTCAGGCGCGCGGTCTTGTGGGGGCTGGCGGTGCGGATAAAAAGCTGGTCGCCCGACATGGCGCCAAGTGGAACGCCATGGGCCCTCGAAGTCATCAGTCCTTCGACAACGCGGCAATCGTGGAGCGGCAGGCCAAGAGACGCCGCATCGAGGATGAGAAGGAACAGGTGAGGGGCGAGCTTGCTGCAGCGAGAGAGAAGATCCGCAAGCAGGGCGAAGAGACCCCGCCGCTCGGGTTCAGGGCGTGCCAGCTGAGCGACGCCGACATGGAAGCGCTCGATTCGGCGTTCCAGTCGTCCAGTTGGATTCCAGCGCGCTGGCCCGCTTGCGGGCCGACGCCCGCTCGGCGCCCAGCCCATCTCCGATCTTGCTGCGCGCATTGGCCCAGGTGGACATTGAGGCGGAGGGCGACGATGGCACGAAGCCGAGCTGGGTGACCATGATTGCCCAGCACAGGGAGGCCTTCTCTAGCAGTGCCCTCCGTCTCAGAGTGGACGGGCAAGACCGCGCCTACAAGTTCATGTTCGCTCAGAAGTCCCCCGTGGTTCTCCGGGTGTCGCCCCTGGAGCAGATCGAGCACTTCTGGGAGCCCCGTTCCGTGGACTCCAACAACTGGGAGACCATCGGTCTGGACAGGCCCGTGCGGCACATCTTCGAGGCCGACTTGTTCACCAGCATGGGGTGGAAGGACCTCCCCGAGGTGGCCTGTTTAGGGCCGCCGCGCAAGCGCGGGCACAGCCAGCGCGCCCCCCCGAAAGTTTTCGCACCCCCGACGCACTGCAATGGAAGGGGGAGGGGGTGAGGAGGAGGATGGAGAGGAGGGGCAGAGTGGGAGGGTGCAAATTTGGGGGGTTGAGGGAGGAGCGAGCGGCCGAGCGCCGTGGCTCGATCCCTTCGGTCTTGGGCGTGGCGGTGCCGGGCGGCGCGACACCGAGGGGGGTGGGGTCGAGATCCCGGGGGGCCGAAACTTTCCCTTGTCAGGGCCGCGTGTGCTTGGGCAGTCGGTCCCCCCGAATATCAGTGCAGCCCGTGTTCTTACTTTCTAGCGCTTCGCGCGTCCTCCGCCGGCCCACCCAGAAACGATAGCCCAGGCGAGTTCCCCTTGATCAGGGGGCGCGGCAGCGCCCGGCCAGAAGTCATCCGCCCCAGTCTCCAGCATCCTTCGCTCTGGGTGCTCCTTTGAACCATCGTTCAGCCATTGCCGTCCGCGGCGGCGGAGGGGCAATACATTGGTTCTTGACGACGCCTTGCCCCCGCTGATCCCCTGGCGCCAAGGAGGGCCAAAAACCAGCAATAGCCCCGGACTCGAGCAGATGGGGGGAGGAGTAGGAGGAGGAGGAGGGGAGAGCGGCAGGAGGGGGGAAGGGGGGAAGGGAGACAGTGGCGTCGTGCGTGCATCGCCACACGGTCTAAGCGACCATTTGTATGTGTTCTCGCAGGGGGTCAGCGTTGTTCGGATTGTTCACGTAAAGGGCCCCCGATAGCAATCGCCCGCATTTCCGCCGCGAGTTTCGGCCACGTTCGCAGGACAGACTTGTCCGCATTCGTGCAGAGCGGTGCGGGGCACGGCCCTCGTGGGGAAATTGGCGCCGAGCTGTTCTGAAGATGTCCTGTGGCCGTCTTGGGGTTCGGTGCTTCCCGGAGGCGCGTGGGAGGGCATCGGGGGCCACTCGAAGCCATCTTGGGCAATCTTGAATACCATCTTAGGGCTTTCTGCGGGTATGCTGGAGCCACCTTGATACATATGGGACGGCTGGACGCCGCCCAATCCCAGGCCTTCAGGACAAAGGTTGAGGAAGGGTACGCATTTCCACCGACGGGCAACGAGGGGATACAGCAACAGCACACTTGAGCCAATTACGCCGGGAACCCGCCTGGGTTTCGAGTGGGCTTGTTTGCCTGCAAATTCAAGTGGCAAACTTTGTCGTTCGGTTGATGTGCCCCGCTTGCGGGTGACCCTACCGCGGTAGGTGGCGGCGGGCGACATCTCTGTGTTGTTCGGCTTGACGCACACTGGTGGTCGCGAGGTTGCGTCGGATTCGACTTGGCAGCCGTTGGAGGAGATTCTCAGAGTCCTGCCTGTCAAGCTGTCCGCGGGTGGCGGTGGAGGCCGTCCGCGGGTGCCCAAAGATGAGCTGTTGAAGTTGCAGAAGGACTTCCCGTGGCTGGAGGGCTTGATCGGCGATCCGGAGTCGAATTCGAGCGGCACCAGGGCGGGCGGCAGTGGCGACGACCACGTGGATTTGCCCATGTTTGAGGAGTCCGACGACGAGGTCGATGTCTTGTTGGACGAGCTGCGGGCACGGAGAGCTGACTGGGCCACTCCCGACGAGATCTTCGACATCGACACGGACTTCCGGGTGACGCTGCTGGGCGGCAAGTGGTTGGCCATGCACAAGGGCAAAGCGTGCGACGCTTTCAGAGGCCAGGTGCGTCTCAACACTGCGGCTGCTCGGTGGGTCTCGCGGTGCGGTCTTCAGAAGTCCAGCCGGTACGATATCGACAAGTTCACTGAGAGGGGTGCGCATATGTGCGCGCAGGTGTGGCGCTTGGCCATGCATCACTTCTTTTGCATTTGGATGGGGCAGCCTCTGACTGCATACGCATTCACGCAGGCAGATTTCAATAGTTGGAAGCCCCCGCAAGAGTTTCTAGACCTGTTGCCTGGTTTGCATGTCCAGGCGCAAGAGCGCGCGCAAGCTTTGGTAAGGTTCCGCCCCTACTGAGCCGCCGGAGTCTGGGGCGCGACGCACTGCGCAATGCGCTGCATTGCAATGGGATCCACCCGAGCCATCAGAAGGCACACCGTCAAAAAAGACTCCCTGTGGCCAAGGCAGTGCGTCCTTCCGTGGGCACCCCCCCGAGCCCTCTTAAAAAAACGGATGGGGAGGGTGGGCCATATTGCCCTCTTGGGGCTCTCGTGGGGCCCTCTTGGAGCCTTGGAGAATTTCATGGAGAATTTCATGGAGAATTTCTAGGGAATATCTGGGGAATTTTTGAGGCCCTCCGGGCCCGGTCATTTTACAGGGATTGAGGCCCTCAGAAATTCACCAAGAATTCTCCCCGGTTTTCTCCCCGGTTTTCCCCGGCCACATTCGGCCTTGAGCGCGGTGCCCACGCGCGGTCCGCCGGGCGGCACTGTTGGGGCTTCCTTGGGGCCGCGCTTTCCCGGGGGGCCCTGTGGGCCGTGGTCCCACGGCGGTTTCGTTCCGGGGCAAGCAATGGCTGTGAGCTGTCAGGCAGATCGCGCTTCCAAGGACGGAGAAGCGAAGATGCCGTCCGAGACGACGCGCTGCCGGCGCGGGAGGTCCAGCGCCGGCCCGGTGGATTCGCCCACCGGGCCCCGCGTGGACAGAGCCCACCTCCCATGTGATTTCGATGAGCACTTGGACATTGCCAGTTCTTCGGGTTACGAGTTCGCTCGGAGCCAGGCCCATTCCTCGGATGTCGACTTTGCTGGTCGTCTGGCCTGTTCCATGGGTCTCAATTGTGCCGGTTGCCAGGCCCGTTCCTCGGATCTCGAGGAAAGGGCCCGGCGACCGCGTCTGACGCGAGATCCGCGGAACGGGCCAGGCGCCCAGCGCACTCAGGATCCGAGGAGCGGATCTGGGGCGAAGCGGTGGCAGGGTGGTCCGCAGCCGTCTTGGCTCAAGGCCCGCCGTCCAGTACTGGGGACGTCCGCCGAGGCCGCTGCCGCTGCTTCCGCATGGGGAAGCTTGTCGAGACCGACGCCGCCGCCGCGCAGAAGAGGAAGCCCCGCGAACTGAAACAACAGATCACGGACGTCGAAGTTAAGCAAGCTATCAAGGATAATCTGAAGGATTTCACCGCGGCAGAGCTGCACACGAACACCAATGCGGATGGTCAGACGTGCGTCCAGGTCCTGGCGGACCGCAAGCGGAAGAACCGGGAGGACAAGCGCCGGTACCCGTGTGGAGGCCCCTTCTACGAGGAGCCGCCCTGGAACAAATTCGGGCGGGACAGAGGAGTCGGAGGCTGGAGGGGCTCAGGGGGGGGGGGAGCGGCGGGGGGCGGCAGGCGGAGGAGGAGGGGGCCCCGGGGGGCAGAGCAGAAAGGGCGAGGAGGGGGGGGGCGGGCGGGGGGGCAGAGGCAGGAGGACAAACTCTGGCGAACCACGTGCTCATTTGTTCCAGGGCCCCTCGTGTCTGGGAGGACTTGCGGAGTACTTTTAAGGATCAGGAGTCTCCTTCGAAGCGGTTGAAGGCCGTGGACAAGTCCCAGCCCATCCGCGATTCCCTGCTGAAGCCCATGCTGGCGCTCGCGAACAACAACTCGAACCGCGGCCCCATGAACGCGGCCATCGCGGCCCTTGACGATGTAAACCAGCATGAGTTGACTGGTATCCTTCAGTACTTCTTGCGCCTCAAGCCCACGGCGTCCGTGGAGCAGTTCCGCTACTGCATCACCGTCCTTGAGTTCCTCGCGCGCTGTGGAATTCCCGAGAAGTTCCCGGCCGACGGGGCCATCGTGAAGGCGTTCGTGGACAAGGTTTTGCTTTCGGCTTGGAATCGCATGGACATGAAAAAGCCGAACCGCGAGAAGATCTTCCAGACGTACGAGGCCTTGTGGAAACTGGTGCTCCCCGAAGCCGCCGTCCGCGCCATCAGGGCGCACGAGGGTCAGTGGGTGGAGATCGCTGACAAGGTCACGCTGGTTCACGATGCCGGCGAGCTCGGGAAGGCTATGTTTGGAGAGATCACGTCGTGCGTCCTCGCTGAGAAAGCCGACGTGAAGATCTCCCAGGACATCGAGGCCCTGCTGGCCCAGGAGGGCCAGGTCACCATGGCAAAGATCAACAAGGCGAGGAAGGAGACCGTGGCTGCGCTGGCGACGATGGGTTTGGGTTCGTTGCCAGAGCGCCGCAAGATCACCCTGAAGTATCGGGAGTGCTCTTACGACGGCAAGGTGACCTGCATTGGCGACGAGGTGGAGCAGCGGTACTGGACCAGGATCCGGGCCCAGTGCGCGGCCCAGAGGCTTATCCCTGGCCTCTTCTGCGAGGACCAGCTCGTCGACACGGCCGTCGGCAAGGAGGTCGACTTCCACCCAGGCGTCTACTCGAAAGCGAAGTCGGCGCGTGAGAGTGCCAACGAGGGCATGGCCGAGCAAGAGAATACGGACGGCAAAGCTGTCGCCGCGTATCTTGAGCGCTCCGAGAAGTCGCTGATTGCCTTGGACACCATGTGGAAGAGTACGGACCACCAGTGGATGCTGTCCATGGTCGGGAAGGCCGGGGAGCAGCGCCTGCTCGACAAGAGCTTGGCGATCATCCCCGGGAAGGGCGAGAAGAAGAAGAAGCTGACCGAAGTGGCCAAGGAGATGTGCCTCTTGCTGTCTTCTGACCTGGCGAAGTTCTGCAGCGACACGGCCCGCGGCAACCTCCAGAGCGTCATCGATTCGGTGAGCCTGATGGTGTCCGGGAAGCCTCTTAATTTCCAGAACAAGGGGAATGAGTTCGTCAACCGCTTCCTTGCGAAGGCAGCCGGCCTCGTCAGCTCTGGGACTGGCGCGAACGCGAAGTACGGGAAGGAGGCGGTCGTGGCGCTGCTGGCCGGCTTGCAGGAGAAACCCCAGCCAGTCGCCCTCGAGGAGCTGGATGACGTCGTGGTCTACCAGTGGCTCCTCGATAAGCCGCAGCGCGACAAGGTGAAGCAGCTGGAGGCTCTTGCGGTTGCTGCGGTGGGAGGGGCGCCCAAGGCTTCGTCGGCCGCGGGCCCGTCGGCGGGCTCGGCGTCCCCCTCGGCCGCCGCGCCCAAGAAGGCGGCCAGGAAGGGGAAGTCCGAGCTGGAGAAGGCCATGGCCATGTTCGGCGGGGGCTTGTAGACGGCAGCCCTTTTGGGGGGCGCCCCGCTCCTGACGTGAGGCGGGGCGCGGGGGCGGCGGCTTAGCTAGGTGGAGGCTCGGCTGTCCTATTGGGTTTCCTCTGCCGGTTAGCTCGTGCGGCGCCAGTGGTTCATCGACCCATTGGTGAGGCGGCCTGGGCGCGCCAGTTCGGCAGCCCCAGGCGGTGTCAGCAGAAACCCGTGGGTGATTTGTATTAGCGTTGATTCCACATAGGGACAGGGCAAAGAAGATGTATATTGCCCGAGTGCCCGAAGGCCTTGAAAGGGCCCCAACAGGGGCAGGCAAGAAGGCCCCAAGAAGGCTCAATACAGGCCCAAGAAGGCCCCTAGAGCGGGTTGTTTTTTAGCGTCCCCGCGGGGGGGTCACCATGTATCCGCTCTTTGTACAAACCCTTCCTCTTGCAGGGCTTGGCTTGAGGCCCGGAGGGCCTGCAGGAGGTTTCGAGCCTGAGGTCTCCAAAGGCTTCGTGCGAGCTTCGGGTGGGATTGTGCTGCTCCAAGAGGGCTCCGAGACGGCCCCAGAGCGCTCCAAGACGCCTCAAATGGTTTCAAGACGGCCAAAGGGACCCTGGATACGCCCCCAGAGAGCTCTAAGAGGACCCCTCCGGCGGCTTCGAGAGGCTAAAACCATCGATTTCCCCAAGGTTTTGAACTGATTTTTGCGTTCTCGCTTTTTCGGGCTTCAACGTTCCGAGACGGGTCAAGAGGCCACCAAGATCGCCCCAAGACGGCCCAAGAGGCCCCCGAAGAGGGCCCCAGCATGGCCCACGAGGGCGCCAAGACGGCCCATGAGGCCCACAATATGGCCCAAGAAGGTCCCAGGACGGCACCAAAAGGGGACCGATGGGGTCACCTGGATTCACGTTTCGAGATTTTCACAATCAGGATTGCCTCTTGCGAGGGGGCGTGGGGCCATGCGGAGAGGCTTCCCACGTAGAAACGGCGCGGGGGTCACCATGTATCCGTAAATCATATGAATTCATACATTTCTGACGCGATCGCGGGGCTTCTTGGGCGCCCCATTGGGGGCTTCTTGGGAGCCTGCTGGTGGCTTCTTGGGGCCTGATTGGGGCCCTTCGGGCGCCTCTTGAAGTTTGTTCGGGCTTCTTGGAGGCCTCTTGGGGCCTTTTGGGGGTCTTGTGGACCACTGAGGGCGGCTTGGGGGCCTCAAGGAACTGTCTTGGGACCTCCTCGGGGGCTTCTCGGGGGCCTCTTCGGGGCCGCTTGGAACTTCTTGGAATCGGAAGAGGGCGCCAAGAGCCGTAGTTTGGGCCTTCTTGGGGCCATCCTGGGCCCTCTTTGGGCTTTCTTGGGCTCTCCAGGGGCCAATTCGGGTCTGTGGGGAAGCTTCGGGGAAAACCCAGGCGGGGTCAAAGAGGGCCTCAAGCGGGCCCCTGAGCTGGCAGACCGCTGACAAGAACGAGCCCTTCGCCACAGCACGGTGGGATGGCTCCAGGGTGGGCCCCGACACAGCGACGGCGCCCAGTTCCAGCGAGCCGCCTCCTGCGACGGCTAACGTCAAGGGTCGAAACTCGAACATCGAGGATCAAAGTTTTCTGGCCCCCAGGGATTCTCCTCGTCGCCACGGCCGGCCGTGGCTCCAAAAACTGGTGCGATTGGAGCCCGGGGGCGGTCCGGGGGAACACACGCACATGAGTAGGTTTGCTGCTTGACCGGTGATTCTCCCACCAACGTTGCCGGAAGTCGGTGCAAGCCATTGTGTCCAGTGCATCGGTCGGCTACGGATGTAGTCCTCCAGGGCGGCCTGATTCAGGGAATGCCAGCCCATCCTCTTGAAAGCTCTCGCTGTGGCGCGGCGTATGCGGGGGCCCGACAAGGCGCCCCTCCGGAAGCATTGGCGAGGTGCAGTTGGGGCGGTGCTCTTCTTCTGTCCGGGGAAGGGGGGGTCAAAAGTTCCGTCAGGGGGGGCCTCTTGTCAACCCCTGTCCCGGCCGCGTGGCCGATAGTCGCCGCGTTGGAGCGCGTGCGCGGTTTCTTCCACAGCCGTGCCACCGCAGAGCATCAAGGCAGACAGACATGTGAAGCGGGAGGAGGGGGGGCGTCGGGCACGATTTGATCGCTAGGACCTCCGGGGCGACGGCCAGGCTTCGGCGAAGGCGAAACCCTAATGAGGGCACCTCATGGCCAGGACCTTATGGGGGAATGTTGGGCCCCCGCGCGCACGCCCAATGCGCCGCGTGATAAGTAATGTGCACTTCGTGCAACCACGTGTTCGGCGAGAGCAACGTTTTTGATCTGATGTCGTCTTGCTTACGGGTTGGATGAACCGCTGTGCAAATCGCGCCGAGCTGCCAGTGCCGCAAACGAGAGGAGCGCTCGGGAGGAGCGCGCCGCCGAGCGAGGAGAGAACCGTGCCATCACTGTCGTCGCCGCTGCTGTTGCTGCCATCGCCTCGGTCCTGTTGCCTACTCAGTCGTCGTTTTGGCTGCCATCGCAACGTCGTCTGCGTTTGCCTCGGAGTGGGCGTCGCCGAGTCCTCCTCCACCTCCTCCTTGCTACCCCCGCCCTCTATATTCGCCCCTCTCTCCCCATTGTTCGGTTATTCCTGCTTCTCCCCTGCTCAATCACCCGGCTTGTTTTGGGCTTCCTCTCGCAATGCTATTTCCGTGTGTCTTACTTCTCGCCCAGGGGTTTCCCTGAGTTCCCGTATTGTATTATTTAGTACGGCATCATGCCTTCGACCTCGCCTTCTGACTCCCGTCCTCCATATCCTTGTGTCCCCGTGTATTGCTTTTCACATCGTCCGAATCTTCATCGCCATCCTCCGTCTCATCCCAAATCCAAATCCTGCCCCCCCCACGCTGTTCCCGCACTTCGTAGTAATAGTCCTCGTCATCCCCGCCCGCTCGTTCTTTAACCTTTCCACCGCGTCCCATCTCCCGCGCCACATCACATCTCCAACGCGTCACGTCGTACTTCCAACCCCTTCCGTCTTTTACCCGCCGCATCCTCATTCACCGTCCCTCTTCCCCGTCCCCCGTCCCCCATCCATTTTTCACGCGTGCCTCCAACGTCCGATCGGGCGTTCCGGGGATTGTGGATTGTGCAGTTGTGGCCTCCGTGCTTGCCCTGAGTCTGCACCTGGCCTGGGTAAGGTTAACCAGGCTGTGAAATTCATGACGCTTCGCGCATGCCCGCCGACCCGCACAGAAACGATCCTCGGGCGAGTTGTCCACATCAGGTGAGTGTAGCTGCATGCGTCCAGCGTCCACCATCAAACAGCCTTTTGCGGGCGTTTTGCGCTGACCTTCAGGGAGGCGTGCTGGCGCCATCTTGAGGCCTTCTTGGGCCCTTGTTTGGGAGCTTTCGGGGATATTTCAAGGCTCTCTGGAGGCCCGCGCTGCGAACTCTCATACGGCGAAGAGGGCATCTTTCGAGGACGTCGACAGGAAAAGGGGCATCAGAGAGATTTGCTCACTTCCGTCGGAGCCAGGGAAATCGTTGCGCGTTGCTTTCTTGAGACGCTCTTGGGGCGATCTTGGGAGCTTTGGATGCCGTCTGGGAACTATTCGGGTTCCATATGGGGTTGCCTTGGGCTATTTTGGGGGCCATGCTGAGGCTTCAGGAGCCAATCGGAAGCGAACGCGGGAAAAGGCGCACATCATCGAAACGCGCAGGTGTCTGAAGGATACTGGCCTCTCACAAGCGGTCTGAGGGGAGCCCGAGGCCACTTGGAACCGCCTCGTGGCGATCATTGTTTTTGATGCATGTTGGAGGCAGTCTTGAATCATCTTGAGCTGTATTCCCCTGTTGGGGGATAATTCCGGCTATATGAGGCCATATAGGAGCCAGCTAGGGCGCAATCTTAGGCGCTTCAACGCTTCGGCTACCCCCCTGTCTAGATTTTTGAGAAGGGGTAGGGGGACGGGCAAACGCTTCCCCGAGAAGGGAGTCGAACAAGTTGGAAACGCATCGCTGTAAACCCCTTGCGCCCACGGGGCTGTTGAGACTTTCATTGAAATGCACATGGGAGGCGTCATGCGATTGTACCTCCTAATGTAACTTCTCGGTGAGAAGCTCGTTGAAAAATGATCGGCGCGATGCGCTCGCGCATGCGATCGGTTGCCTTCCAGTTTGGCGCCGCCGGCCCAGCTTGGACGCGTCGCGTCCAGGGTCGGCCAGATGACAACATTGTTTAGGGATCTGGGTGGCCTGTGGAGGATCGGGAGTGGGAGAGAAGGGGGGCCGTGGAAAAGGGAGCGCCCCCCTCCTGTCTGCACCCCCTGCGCCTCGCGCCCGTGGCGCGTCTCCCAGTACTAAACCTCCTCTTGTTCCCCCCTCCTCCGTTGCCATATTGGCTCAAGCCACCCGCGCTCGGCGCGGCGCGGGTTCGCGTCAACGCGTGCGTGATTGTATCGCGCGCCATCGCGAAGCGTATTTGCAGTCGCGCATTGTGAATTCATGCGCCTTGGCCTTTGCGCATTTTCGCTTTTGTGCTTGCGCGCCGACGGAGCGCGCGGAGCCCGTTGTGCATTGGATGCGGGCAGCGAGCGCCGAGGCGCGTTGAACCAGATGTCGGCGCCCCAACTGCGCTGCGATCGCTTTCCTGCACTTCGGGAGAGGAACCTGGTCGTTCCCGATGTCGCCCTTCCCGTCTATTTGAGCGAGAGTGTTATGTGTAAGTCGGGAAGTGTTTGGGCCAGCGGTGTCATCCAATGTTGTTTTTTTTTCGCTGGAATTCATTTCCGTTCCTCCGAAAAATATTTTCTGAGGACTTCTGGTGAGACCTCGCGATGAAACGCCCGCGACAGAGTCGCCGCCGCGTCAACGCCGCGCGAACTTACCGCAACCTTGGCCGCCGAGCTGCCCCCCGGGCGTTGAATGCGGCTGCGCGAGGCTCCGAGTCATGGCCAAGCGCCACATTCGTCGCCTCGGTCGCAGCTTCGGGGGAAGCGAGCTTACCCCGAAAAAGCCTCGCGGAGAAACTCGTTGCCATCTCTGGGGTTTCAGAACGGGCCGTGCGCGTCGTGCTGGACGTGCTGGGCCCTGAGGAAGCGCAAGCCGTGCTTGAGGCACTAGTCCGCGTAACGAGTTTCCTGAGCCATCCGCCTGGTCGGTGCTGTTGCAGCTTTCTTCTTTCGGGTGACAGGCGGGAATGTGGAGGGGCCCGCGAGATGCTGAACTTCGCGAACGATGCGGTCTATATCCTCGATGTCTGTTGGGTTTGGCGCCCTGCTGGCAGCGCCGCCGTTGCTGACAGGGCGACGGGCCTTGACTTTGCGACGGGGGGGGCGCAACCTGACAGGCACCTGCTTTCTCCTGCGTGCGGTCGGCGCGTCGTCAGACACGCGGAAATGCGTTAGGTGGAAGTGGTGCATTTCCGCTGCGGTCGGAGCTCGCTTCTTCACCATCTTGACTTTAGTGCCTGCCGGGTTGATCTGTAGACCCCATGCAGGCTTGTAGAACAAGTAGGAACTCATGATTGCAAGCTCCTTCACCAGCCTGTTGTACTCCGCAGGCGAGATTGGCGGCTTGCACGTGATGTCGCGCAAATCTTCCAACGGGGATGGCACGGTCGGGGGGTGCGCGGGCTCGTGGAGGCGCGGGGATGGCACGGTCGGAGAGTGCGCGGGCTCGTGGATGCGCGGGGGTGGCTCTGACGTGCTGCGCACCTCCGTTGATGGGGAATATCATCTATACTGATGAAGTGGCTGATGAAAGTGTTCTTGGTCACCGCCACGTGTGGATCCACGCAGAAGCTGCGCACGGGGCCAGGCGACCTTCCGCGGGTCGCAGCCATTGCTCAGAAGCACTTTCACGACCTGGCAAGAAATCGAGGCTGTCGTGTCGAGCGAGAAACACCGCCGCTTGAGCGTAGCGAAGATCTTGAGCCAAGAATTACGGAAGCATTGCAGGCATTGTGATTTGGTGCGAGTGGCGCGGTGCGTTCCCTAGTGTCCTGGTGGCTTCCCCGCTCTCTCAGAGTTTGCCCTGGTAGTTCTCTGCTGACAATTTCAGCGCTGGCCTTGGGGGTCCTGTGCGGGCCCCCTGCAGGATCATTGAGCGGGAGCTCATGTTGCTTCTCATGACGAGGATGATGCATTTTTCTTGTCGGACCGCGTAAGCTGGTCTCTTCTGCTGTGCGCTCGCTCAATCCGAGTCAGACGAAGACGAGGACGACGAGGCCGAAGAAGCCGAGCCCGAAGTACCACTGGAGAGCTTCTTCGAAGGGCGCTTCTTCACCATCTTCTGCTCTGTGGCCTTCTGCTTCTTGGCCGCCGCCGCCGCGCGGCGCTCCTCGCGGCAGCGCCGCGATGCCTCCTTGTTCTTCACCTTCCTCTCCTCGTACGACATCTTCTTCCTAGTAGAAACGCCCGCCGCGGGGGGCGGCTGCTTGTGGTAATCCGCCTCGTTGTTGCCACGGGCGGAGCCTTCCAGCCGTTGTTGGCTCTGACCTGAAAGGCGCTCCTCTCCTTAGTGTTCGTCGTGTTCACCTCCTGCCCAACCTTGCCCACCTCGCCCTCTGCAGAGAGCCTCGGCATGTTGTCGGCGCAAGTGCGGTACTCGATCGCAGGAAGGTGATTGAGCCTCAAACCAGCTACGGAAGAGAGTGCCCGAGTGGAGAACGTAACTTGATATCTTCCCATGTGGAACGACACACATATGATGATGATGACGAGTATGTGCTTCAAGATGTTGCTGATGACGATGGTGATGACGAGTATGTGTTTCAAGATCCTGCTGATGGCGATGATGATGACGAGTCTGTGTGTCAAGATGCTGGTGATGACGATGATGATGACGAGTATGTGTTTCAAGATGTTGCTGATGACGATTGTGATGGCAAGTACGTGTTTCAAGATGTTGCTGATGATGGTGATGATGACGAGTATGTGCTTCAAGATGCTGCCCTTTCCTGTCGTGCCCCCGCCCTATCCTCGGAGATGGCGGTTTCGACATCACTCTGGGATCCCCAAGATCATCTCCTGTCAGGGGCAGGTCGCGAGTACCAGAAATGAGAGTTACCAATCTTCTGGTATGCGTTGGGGGCAATCCATTATCAAAATGGGCCTCACAGGGCATCATCGGGAAACACAGTCCACCAGACTAAGGGAATAACCCCCTGGGTCTAAGCACCCATAGCGGGTTCCATAAGTCCTCCTCTCCTTCCTCCTCTTCTTCCTCCTCCTCCTCCGCCTCCACCTCCGTGTCTTCCTCCTCGTCCCTCTTACGTCCAGTGGGTGAGCGCCGAAGCGCGTTCCAGAGGGACATCTTAAGCCTTAATCCCTCGATTCTCCGGCCTCCGGAGGCCCGAAACAAACATGAGCCAATTACCGTATTAGTTGTTTTGCAGTGGTTAACAACAAAAATCCTTAAGTCATAAACTACAAATAGAATCTGCTGGCAGGTTATGACAATGTTGGTAACGATTATGCTTCGCAAGGGATTCCGAAGACCCATTGCGACGATAAGCGCGTGTTTCAAGATGTTGCTGATAACGGCGGTGGTAACACGCATTCCTTTGAAGGTGATGGCGATGACGATGGCGGTGACGAGTATGTGTTATAAGACGCTGCTGATGACGATGGTGATGACCAGTATGTTTTTTCAAGATGATGTTGATGACGATGATGGTGACGAGTATGTGTTTCAAGATGCTCCTGATGACGATGGTGATGACAAGTACGTGTTTCAAAATGTTGCTGATGGCGATGGTGATGGCGAGCATGTGTTTCAAGATGCTGCTGATGACGATGGTGATGACAAGCATTTGTTTCAAGATGCTGCTGATGACGATGGTGATGACGAGCGTGTGTTTCAAGATGCTGCTGATGACGATGGTGATGACGAGCATGCGTTTCAAGATGCTGCTGATGACGATGGTGATGACGAGCATTTGTTTCAAGATGCTGCTGATGACGATGGTGATGACGAGCATGTGTTTCAAGATGCTGGGAATAACTCCCTGGGGCTAGGCACCCATAGCAGATTCCATAAGTTATCCTCTCTTTACCCTTCTTCCTCCTCCTCCTCCGCCTCCACCTCCGTCTCTTCCTCCTCGCCCCTCTTACGTCCACTGGGTGAGCCCCGAAGCGCGTTCCAGAGAGATTAATAAGCCTTAATGTCTCGATTCTCCGGCCTCCGGAGGCCCGAAACAAACATTAGCGGATTACACATTGATTTCTTTTGTTGTTGAATTACAAAAGGGAACCCTTTGGTGGTGAACTACACATTGTTTTATTTTGTGGCAGATTACAAAAGGATTCCTTTTGTGGAGAATTACAAAAGGATTTCTTTTGTGGAGGATCACATGATGATTCTTTTTTTGTGGCGTATTACAAAAGGATTCCTTTTGTGGAGGATTACAAAAGGATTCCTTTTGTGGAGGATTACAAAAGGATTCCCCTTGGTGGAGGAATACAATGGGATTCCTTTTGTGGAGGATTACACATTGATTTCCTTTGAGGGCTCTCCTGGAAGTGAATCAGGGGACAAAAGAAAAAAAAAAACAATCAGAAAATCTTGGAAAATTGTGAAAATTGCAGGTTTTCAATGAATTTCCAATGTCTTGAAGCAGAAACATATAAAAACCACAACATTTCCAAGGTTTTGAGGCCGAAACCATATGAAAACACAGCATTTTTTGCATTCGGATTTTGAAACTGTTGTGTTTATTATATGTTTTTGCTTCAAAGCATTGGAAATTCTATGAAAACTTGTAATTTTCTCAATTTCATTTTTTTTTTGTCCCCTGGTTCACTTCCAAGAAAGCACTCACAGGAAATCAATTTGTAATCCCCCACAAAAGGAATCCCTTTGTATTCCTCCACCAAAGGGAATTTCTTTGTAATCCTCAACAAAAGGGATCCTTTTGTAATCCTCCACAAAAGGAATCCTTTTGTAAGCCGCCACAAAAGGAAACAATTTGTAATACATCATGAACAGAATTCCCTTGTAATTCCTTACAAAAGAACTCAGTTTAAAATCTGCTACAACAGGAATCGTTCTGCATTCCACTACTTTGAACAATCCCTTTAAAGATGACGAAAAACATAATCAACAGGAAAGCAAGCAAATGAGAAGTAATAAACCCAAAACCGAAGTGGTACACACACACACACACACGGTTTGGTCAACCTTACAGGGGGGGGAGGGGGCGGGAAAAAGGCCTTGAATATCCCGTGCAGCCACCTGTTGCCCCGCCAGCGCCCGTTTGGACCTGCGAGGAACTCCGAGAATATGGGGCCCCATGTTGCCTCGTGTTTCAGGGCCGCACTGCTGGGCATGCCCACGTGAGGTTCTCCGCGGGGGGCGCCCGTGGACGCGGGGCCCTCAGCGACGTCCTTGCAGTCGCCAACCAGTGCCCGCGGTGCATGTCCGCGCTGTCCAACCGGCCCATTGCTCGGCAGCATGTTCGACGGTTCTTCCTTTCCAATAGGTGTCAGGCTGACGGGGGACATTATCAGTGTCCAACAGAACAGCCAGACACTCCCCTGTGCCCTGCATGCGGCCGTGGCCATGAGAGTCTGGAGGCTCTTCAGGTTCGCATTCGCAGCCGCGTCGCATTGGATTCTGCCGCTTACTTTACTTTCGACCAGCCGCGCGATGAGTTGGATGGCGGGGGGGGGGCCTAGGACCGATTCTGGGCGAGGCGACGGAACTCTTGGACAGCTCCCAGGGCGCGGCAAGCAGCCCCGCTGGGGGCCGCGGCTTCAGCGGTAGTAGCAGCCGCACTCACCGAGACGGAGATCGAGGGTTCCGACTCAGAGGGCGAGGCGGCGCTGAATGTGGTCATGGGTTATCTCAGTGTGCGCCAACGGATTCGGGCATTGGAAGGATGTCTTCTGTCTACACACCTTGTGCCGAAGGAGTGCATGATCATTCCCTATGCAGTAGGATCAGCGCAGATGTGCATAAAAAACTCGAGGGCGATCCCAAGTCCCAGCTGGGCCCACCGTCGTTGATGGTTGCTCTGGCAGTCTTGGGGGCTCTCCTGGCACGGCAGGCAGTTCACGGCAGTGGGCAATTCAGGGCGGAGTATTAGGGGCTGAAGGGCCTCGTTCAGAGAATCTAGGGGAAGACGATGGAAATCGCAGCACAATATATCAAGTACTGGAGGGCCAAACCTACGTTTGCCCAGGAGGGGGGGGGTGGAGTGCGGCACGCTTTCTACATCCATGCGTTCGTTCCCATCGGAGAGCCCCCCCCCCGAACATGCTGATAGTGCTAGCCAACCTCTTGGCCAGCAAGCTGCTGACACTAGGGGTCGGAGATCAAGCCGGGCCCCCTCCGCGTGCGACAACAGAGAGGCAATTTCATAATTCATTAGAGAAAAGGTTCAAAGGCCGCAGTAACCGCAGGCACTGAGGATCCCGACGGTCAGCGGAGCCCAGCCATTCCTTCTTTTACTATATATATAAAGAAAAAGAGAGAGAGAGAGAGAGAGAGAGAGAGAGAGAGAGAGAGAGAGAGAGAGAGAGAGAGAAAGAGAGAGAGAGAGAGGGAGAGAGAGAAAGAGAGAGGTAGAGCTCGTTGATCGGGATCTCGGGACTCACCAGAGGCTCCACGCAAGAAAAGGCACCGAGGCAAAGTTATGGGCAAGGGTAGGTGACAGTTGAACTAATCCGGGTTTGCTGTGTGACTTCCTGGCCTCCGTGCTGTGCCTCTGTGGTGCTGTGGTGTGCCTCGATGGTGGCCTCCTCCCCTTCCTCCTCCTCTGTGGGTGTCGTGACGAGATGTTTTTCTTCAACACCTGGGCGAGTGTCGAATGGCCAATTTGCGCGATGATTACGTTAAGCCTCTCGACCTTGATGTTTTCATGTTATCCAGGGTGTCCCCTATGACTGGATAACCAGTTATGGCGGGGGTACCGAATTTTGAACCGTGTTCGAGGGTTTTCCATTCTTGATGCGCGCAGCGGTCGACGTGCAAGCTACAAAGAGGATGCTGCAGAGACCACAGTCTGATGGCCAGCCAGCATCCCCCCTTTCCTTCCTCCCCCCTTTTCTTCCGCCGCCCCCTTACTGTCCTCCCCTCTTGAGGAGCTGGTCGACTGCGTCCCGAACCCGGAGAAGTGCGGCGGCGAGGGCGGCTGCAAGGGCGCCACCGCCGAGCTCGCGCTCCAGTACGTGCAGGAGCACGGGCTCTCCACGGCCGACGGGTACCAGGGCGGCTATCAGTCCGGCGGCGACGGCACGTGCCAGGCTCGGCCGCGCGCAGAGCCGCTCAGCGCTTCGCTTCGGAAGGGGGGATCCACCTCGTTCTTCCCCCGCTCCTCTGCCAGAGAGAAGGGATAATATCAGAGGAGGAGGGGAGAGGGGGAATCAAGAAGAAGGTGTACCTTGTATAGTTGCCAGATTCCTGCCGTTCTCCTCGTCTCTTGGCCTTCGGGTGCCCCCTCGTCGCCGCGGGCGGACATGGGCCGCTTTCCATGCCATGTGCTCGCTGGTGCTTCCTGGTCGCTGGCGCCCCGACTACTCCCGAGGGTGGTTCTCAGGGTGTACAGGCGCCCAGAGCTATCTGGGTGTCTCCCCTCGCAGAATCAGACCGAACAATTGATCGGGATGGACCCCCAGTGGCGTGAGGGGGGCTGCCTTCTGAGAAGGCAGGGGGCTTCCGAACAGCCCTCCCGCCCCCTTCTAGAAGGCTCTCCTAGCAGCCTCCGATCCTTTCCAGGAGACCCCCCTGCTGTTGTCTGAAAAAGGCCGTCCCCCCTCGCCTCCCCCCCCCCTTGGCGCGCCGCCAACAGGCGACACACACCGACGGCCAGAAGAGAGCTGTGTCCACCGGCTTCGAGCAGCTGCCGGCGAACGAGCTGGAGCCGCTGCTCGAGGCCGTTGCGACCACGGGGCCCGTCGTGGTGTCGGTCGACGCGTCCGGCTGGGCCAGCTATGCGGCCGGCGTGTTCGACGGCTGTCCTCAGAACGCCACCATCAACCATGCTGTGCTGCTGGTGGGCTTCGGCACCGATAACGAGACCGGCATGGACTACTGGCTTATCCGAAACTCGTGGGGCGACGGCTGGGGAGAGGAAGGCCACATCCGCCTGAAGCGCCACCAGTCGGACAGAGGCGATGCCGGGCACTGCGGGGTGGACACGGCCCCGCTGGAGGGCGTTGGATGCCCAGGGGGCCCGCCAGAGATGCCGGTGTGCGGCATGTGCGGGGTGCTCTCCGACTCCTCGTATCCCACGGGCGTGCACGTCTCCCGCTCAGAGGGCCCTGGCTGGCCGTCGAGCCCAGGGTCGATCGGGGCGCCGATATCCTCTCCGGTCTGCGCTCGTGGGGCCGGGGGGGGGGTCGGGCCGGCCATGTCAGGATCAGGACACGGGTAGCGGGTTGGTGGATAATACAGTTTAAATGGTTTCCTAGGTCACCCGCGGGGGCACGAAGATAGCCGCGCTCCGCGCGCACGGGCCGGGCCAGAGTGGTCGCCCTTGCCTCCAATGGAGCGCGGCGCGAGGGCGCGCAGGGCGTGGAGATTTGATCGCGCCGCGCGCACCGCGGGGCGCGAGGGTGCGAAGCCAGGGCGGTGCGGAACGACGCGCTATCCGTTCAGAAGGCATACCGTGTCTTCAGGGCCGCCGCCGCGACACGCTAAGCTGGAGTTCCCGACCGTTGGTCTCGGGTAGGAGCGGCCCAGATTGGAGGGCTGGTGCCTCTGAGGTCTCCCGCGGGCCGGCAGCGGAGCCCATGGGCGGCGGCGGCGGCGGCGACATCATCTCTGCGTCCCTCGGCGGGGTCGAGTCCTTCGGCAGGGCCGTCTCCGAGCTCCTCGGCGGGCCCCGCTGAGACTGAGAAGCGACGGCGGCGGCGGCGCGCGCGCGGACACGGGGCGAGGCGGCGCGCTGCGGAAGGGGTTCGAGGGAGGAGGGCTGGATGTTGCCAGAGGCGTCTCTGGCTCGAGGTGGCCCCAGCTTTACCAGGGAGGCACCGATGGCTTCCAGAGCGCCCCTCACGAAGTCCAGAGGCTCCAAAATGGCGCGGAAGCCCGAGGAAACCTTAGGCCAGGACTACTTCTGGCAGCAACCGAGTGGGGGTGGCCTTCTGAGAGGGCAGGGGTGGCCGCTTTCTGGGAGGACTTCCCTGAGATGGGGCAGGACGTCATGATTGTGATGCGTTCCAGGATTTCCAGGTTTTCCTGCTGTCGGCTTTGCGCACGGATTCTGGGGACGAGGGCTGCACGGTTCTTCGGAAATCCTGGAACCCATCCTGCGCCAAACGGATCATGACATTGCCCTCGTCCCTTTCCTCGAGGGGTCCGAGCTCTTCTGCGAAGCCTTGCTCCCTCTCAGAAGCTCCCACCCTCTGTGCTCGCTGCCAAGAGCATGCGTGCTGAAGGCCCCGCCGCGGGCGACGCCAGCGCGCGGCGCCCATCGCGGCGGCCGCGCCGAGATGCGACTGGGCCCAAGCGCCGTGGCACACGCCCGCGGCAGCGGAGGCCACAGGGCCAGCGCGGCAGCGAAGCCTCCCGAGCTGGTCCGACTCGGGCGCCCCCCCCGGACAAGGCGGGGGGGCTGTGGCCGCTCTTCCAGGACGGCCGCCTGCGGCGACGGCGCTCGGGCAGGCCAGCGCACTTTCTGCGACTCTTCACTGGGCGCGGCAGCTGCCTCTCTGGGGGCTGCTTTGTGTCGGAAAGACCCCCCCTCCGTGCAGCATCGTCTAAACTATCCCGGCCCCATTGGCCCATGATATCTCAGCCCCACCAGCCCACCTTCCTATGTGGGGACAGGCCCCGCCAAATCCGCAGGAACAGGCGCATATCACCACCTAGCTGAGAAAGTCGGCCAGCGGGGCCAAGGCCACGCCAGTGGGGATCGGGATCGGTTAAACGATGCTCATCCGTCTTCCCCCCTCCTCCTCCTCCTCCTCCTCCTCCTCCTCCTCTGCCCCTGCCTCTGCCGCTGGGCCGCGGGGCCGCGCGGGCCCTGATCGACCCACCGTTCTTTCTTATGGTGGTCTGGATGCCGATGCTGAAGTTGTTGTTGTTGTTGTTGTTGTTGTAGTTGTTGTTGTTGTTGTTGTTGTTGTTGTTGTTGTTGTTGTTGTTGTTGTTGTTGTTGTTGTTGTTGTTGTTGTTGTTGTTGTTGAATAGTATTACTTCTAAAGAATAATCATTGTTGGGCCCCCTGGTGCACGCCCCCCTCGCCGCGCCTAGGCCGCAGCCACATTTTCATCATTTTCGCGAGGAAGTCTCAGGCAAAACGGGGGAGTCCGGATCCGGTTGTTTTGTTGACGCCCGCTTTCCCTGTCAAAAAACAATATAAAATGACATGTCTTGTTCTAACATAACCAAACTTCAAGAATCCTTTGCAACAAATGACACGAAGTGCACACTCGCGCGCGCAAGATGAAATCCTTCCAAAACCTTAGTTTTCGTAGCGATTTTAACATAAAAACATGAAAACCCAAATGGTTTTTCAAAAAAAAGTTTCAACAATTCATCCCGCGCGCTCTTGCGGATTTCTTAGGAAACTTATACTTTTTCAACATTTCTGTCAAACGGGCTCTTGCGAGCAACTTTTTCACGTGCTTCGAACTTCTGCAACAACGGTTGCGCGCATGCCAGGGCCATCATCCCGGTCAAATAATACCATATGGGACACATTCGTTTTTTCTTCGCGCGCGCACGCCGAAATCTTCAAACACCATTGGGTTTCTTAAGAATTTCAGCACCGCGTATCATAAAATCACACGAATCGCACCGTAGGTCCTCGAAAAACACGTGCACGGATTTTCCAAATTTCTACCCGCGCGCGCTGTCCGAATCCTTAAAAACAAATGGTTTTTCAACATTTATGTTACATGAGCTCGCGCGAGCTACTTTCGCACGCTCTTTCAACGGCGTTTACCGTGGTTTCCTATTCTAGCGTCAGGAACATGTTACCACGAAAAACCAGTACAGGTGTCCAGTGTTGGAACAGGGGGAAAAGTCGTATACTAAGCTAGCTTACAGAAAATGTTACCACAACAAGTCACTGTACCCATGCGCCAGTGTAGTAGCCAAGGTCGTCCGCAGGCCACGAAGTGAAGTGTCCGAACGTCATAGGGCGGGAAGCTGGGTGTGGGTGGTGGCGAAGAGTCGTTTGGAAATGTGGTAGAGCTTGAACCGGCCCCCCCACAAAGTGGGGGTATTGCCCGTCTCCTATGAAAACCCTGGCACTGGTGAGAACGGAGTGTCCCCACGTGCTAGTAATTGTTGTTGTTGTTGTAGTTGTTGTAGTTGTTGTTGTTGTCGTTGTTGTTGCTTTGGTGGTGCTGATTGTTGTAATGATGATGGTGATGATGGTGGTGATGGTGATCGTGGTGGGGATGATGGTAATGATGAGGAGGAGGAGACGGAGGAGGCATGGGGATTTGGCATGGAAAAGAGGACGTGGAGGAGGACAGACAACACACACACAATCACCATAAGCTTCAACCGATGTCTCTGGGGAGAGCTGAATCAGGAGTGGAAACAACACACAGACACAATTAATCGACGATTCCCAGGAATATATGGGAAGATATGGGAAGTGGGGGGGAAGACAACAACCCAGAAAATATAGGAAAATATATTTGTGTGTCCCAGGGACCCTTCACTGAATTGAATGCGCTATGCACTACAGCATTAACCCACACTCATAATTGGGCGGGACCACGAATTGACTGCCACATGCCTCTGGAGCGGCGAGCCTGATCAAGCCAGGAACGTGCGTAAGTGCTGGGCCTCGAGGCGACACTGCGGTGCCCTACGGAGGCACGGCGGCTCCAGAGCACGTCCCCGCGATTGCCGACGTGGGAGGGGACCGTGAGGGACAATCCCAGGCGAGAGGAGGGAGGACGGACGACAGCACGGTTGTTTAGGTTCTTCACAACAGATGCATCAACACACCACTCTTCGAGGGCGGTGCGCTACTCCTCCATCTGTTCCAGCAGCTTCTGCACCTCGCGCCCCATAAACGTGTGTGGAGCCCGCCTTTGCTTCAGCTGCACGCCCTGGATCCCCTCAAACGCCTCGAGCATCATCAGTCGAAACGCCTGATCCCTGTACGCGAACGTCACCTTCGTCATCTCCTTCTGGAAGACCTTGTCCACATTGTAGCACTGGAACCAGTTCGAATTTCTTCTCCACGGTCCAACTGTTGTGCTCCTGGTGCGCGCGAGGCAGCTTGCCGTGAAGCTCCTTCGAGATGAAGACCCCCTATGCTGGGGAGTCGGGGTTCTGATCCTTCAGCCATTTTAGCGCGCTGACGAATGCCCAGATCAGCAGATGACCGTGCTCGTGATCTTTCTTTCTTTTTCGCCACCTCACCACAGGTAGCCTTTTCCTCCAGCATCGGAAAAAGAAGTGAAGCGTCTTCGGGCGGAAGGAACACGTCGAACAATACCGCCATAACCTCGCGCATGTGCTCGGAGTTGCGGAGGGTCTGGCGCATCATCATGCCTATCACCTGCTTCTGGCCAGACTTCGACGTCTTGACGTCCTTGAACCCGTCGGCTCACTTGCCGTCGTCTTTCCGCCTGGCGCTGGCGCACCTGGCGGACGTGTGCTTGGGCGCCGCCCTGGGATCCCACCGTCAGCAGTGCCGGCCGGCATGTGCTGCCCGCCGCGGATGGGCGGGGCGAGGGGTAACAAGTCGCGTGAACGGCAAGGGTAGATGCTCGTATCGAAGGTGTGTGCGTTCTCTATCCACAGCGCCAACAGCTGCTACGTCACATCATACACACTGAAGTTCACGAGATTTTCCTAAGACCTATGTGCCCGTCCTAGTTGACATCTGGAGGATGAGGAGGAGGTGGACGAGGAGGAGGGAAGGGAAGGAGGAGCAGGATGACAACGACCACGACGCCGCCGCAGGCGGCCCTGGTTCTGCAGCCAGACTGCCCGAAGGCCGACGGGAGCGGCGCGCCGAAGCAGACGGGAATGTTTGAGTTTTATCGGCAGCGGCTACGGGCTCCGCCTCCTGGGCCACATTCGTCGAAGGACCAGAAGTGATTTAACCATACACTTCCGATAGTCATCGCGGTTTCCTTGGTTCGGTGCTGGTCCCCCGCTGGCGGTGCTTCCAGCGCGGCCAACGTCGGGGAAGGGGTGTTCCAGCGCCGACCCAAGAACTCCGCACGGATCCCCTAAAGTCAATAATGATTTGTGTTGTTGTAGTTTGGCCACCTTTGGCCTCTCGGGGAGGCTCTCGTGGCCACGGTGGGATGCGCTTCGAGCAACTTGCCAGGGTGAGCGGTGGTCCCCAGACACGTCTTCAGCGGAGTTGTTTCCCGAAACTGGAGCAGATACACTACCAGTGGTGGGGTGTTTTTCAATTCCGAGGGATTTTTCTATGGTCGGAGACGACGCCGGGGTGGTGTGGTGTATACTTGTTTCCCTTTTTTCCCGGGGAAACGACGGAAAACGTATACACCAGGATCCCTTATACACAAGGATCCGCTTTCCAGTGCAAGTTTCAGTGCAGAGCCGGAAAAAGCGTAGGTGTATAGAGTTCAATTCCCTATGGTGGTCCCCAGACACGTCTTCAGCGGAGTTGTTTCCCATGCCATTGGAGATTCGAGTCAACCGTGCCGGATGCTTCTGTTTTCGGCCTCCCCCGAGGGATTTTTCCAGGCCAGGTGGCCGTCAACAAAAGCCGACTTAGGATGAAGAGCTGGTCCTGGAGAGGGGTCGAGAATTCCAGGGGCTAGCGACTCGAGAAATCGACTCTTCGGAGGTGTGGGCCCTACCTTTCTCCGTCGTCGTCGCCCTTCTATAATTCCTCGGACGAGGATGAGCAAGAGGGGGGTAGAGCAGGAGAACGAGA